ATAAAAATATAAGATTAATAAAATATCCCAGATTGCATGACTGCCTATATGAAAAGACTTTCTATTAAAACCAGTCTTTTTGAAATATCACAGAACTGTGTTTATTATGAAAACATGCAAACACATGAACAGATTGTTTTCTTCTTGCTTTTTCATGTATTTGAACTTTTTTATTCCTTCCTAAACAGTGACCATAAATCAATCAGATTCACTGCTGTCCATAACTGAACCTGTTACAACATGATATCCATGTTCAGATATATGACAGTTCAGTGTTGGGGATACAAATTCTGAGAGTGATTATAATTTTACATACATATATTTTTAAAGCTTTTCAGTAACAGATACTTATTAGAGTGTTTTAGCACTGACTTAGATATTTATTAGAGTGTTTTAGCACTGACTTACAGAACATTGCTAATTCAAATGCAACCTCAAATTTCTCAAAATACTCTGCAAATCCTTATGTGTATAAAGCAGTATATTAATAAATTTCGACTGATCTACTGAATCAAATTCTTCATTTTTTTCTCCCCTCATCTTGAACCTGTCAATAAAAATCTGAAATCAATTTTCATAAAAGGGATAAAAGTGTGCCACTTACAGTTCAGTTACATCTTTGGGGATGCCTTTAGGCAAAGCTTTTAGGCCTTTGTTGCTGCAGCGAACTACTGTGTCTAAACAAGTACATTCTGCAGGACAGCGGGACAGTGGGGAGCAGCTATTGTCATCATTTCCTGGTTTATAAAAACAAACAGACGTTAAGCTTGCTAGAAAAATGGCGCTTCAGTATAAGCAATAATATCCCACCTGGAATTCCTATAAGCAGACATGATATTTCCACATTGTGATATCTCTAAGTAGGGAAAACATTAAGTCCTCTCTGGAATCCATTGCTCCAAGAATTTACATTTCAAGTTTATTTACTACACTGCTGTTTTACTAGCTAAAATGCTATTATATGGGAAAAAAGATAATTAAATAAAGAACACAGAAAGATAACAAAGCAAAACATTTGTTCATTTTTAAAATTAACAAATTATTAAAAATAGGTAGTACCTTCAAAGAAAAGTTACAGCCTTGAAAATTGACAATCTAATAATGAAATACAGGGAAGCATGCATGAGAAAGATGCAAGATAGTAGCCCTTTTTTTTTTTTTTATTAAGCATTGAGGAAGTCACAAACTAAGCAAAATGGCATGTTATTTGATCAAGTAACCTGAAAGAGCATTTGATTCAAGCATCAGCATTTAAAAATATTCTCATCTGAACTACATGTGATCCACGTATTTAATTTTTATATTATCGCTAAATTATGATTTACAGTACTGAACATAGGCAAGAAAAACTTTTGAAAGCATACATACAATAGCAGTGTGTTGGCTGATCATCTAAAAACAGGTGGAGGATTTTTAAACTGATGTAGAAACTGAGCATGAAGTGCAGATGAAGTAATTTAAAGCAAAATTAATGCTTTAAATAACTATGGATCTATGGGAATCATGCAGCAATGTATATGAAAGATGAAATTATAGGCAGTTCAAATAGTAATTTTCTTACCATCATCACATGTAAAATCCTGAATTGCTACATCCTGGATGGGAATCTCTTTGAGGAAGTAGGGTTTTTGGCAGCGAGGATTCCCCGTCACAATGCGTTTCTTCCTTAGCCAGTCTCCAAGCCATGCGAGATGGCAGTTGCAGTTGAAAGGATTGGCCAAGAGGTTTCTGAAAACCACAGGAAAGTTTACTTCAGATGACACAGTTTTTTTCATCCTCAGTATTCCATTTCTATTTTCAAAAAGCTGAGCTTAAATACTGTTCTTCAAACAATACTGTGTACAAACCATAGGTGAAAGCTGTAATTTAGGCTCTGTGTGGTGAATCTTGATATAACTCGTTTAGAAATAATTTAAAACTGTCAAAGACCTGACTTGTTCTCAAGCTACTCTGTACTGATAATGCAATAATTTCATATAGAGATGAAGGCTAATTATTTTACATTATTAGAGTTAACCTGACAACAGCTATTCCACTAATTTGTCATCTCAAGATTTCCATCTTTTATTTGCTCTAGAGAATAAGTTTCCTATCTGAAGCGACAGCTAAGTTGATTACATGCCAGTTATAAAAATGAATTTACTTCTAGAATTCTCAGTACTTTCAGCATCTCCCTACTTCAGCACAAACCTATTGACAATTCTGTTATTTATAAACATGTCATCCTTAATATGCACAAAGTAGTCACATGGTGCAAAGAGTCACATTTTATGTAAAAAAGGGATTAAGTACTTTCCTGAATATTGCTACCTACAAAAAGCATTTCTTCAGTAAACTTGAGTGGCAGCCTTGCTCACCGTTTTCTCTTCCCATAAATTACATCATGTTTAAATAAAAAAAGGATACTATTTTTAAAGAAAATGAGACTGAAGCTTCATTATAAAACATGTATGAATTAAGATCCTCAGTAGTCCAAGGAGGTTAAGGCAATAATTGGATGGCACAGGGCAGAAAAACAGACAACATAGTGGTTCAACCAGCTCTGACTGTGCAAGGCCTATCCAAAATACGTCTTTCTGCCCTGGTTCAAATCAGTGGGCTTCTGTTGAAGGAGGAGTTGAGCAGCACATTTTTCCTGCCTTCTCAGGCACTCCTGGAAATCAGTCTAGTGCTGCATTCAAGGGCACTATGAAAACATACTCTCAGGAGTCCAAGATGGTCCAGGAAATAATTTTTAGTAATCAGGTATTTCTCAAAAATACCTCTATGAACTCTTTTTTTCCTTCACTTCACCTCATGCTGTGAAATTATATAGTAAACATTAACATAAATGTTCTTAGAACATCAGAGGTTTAAGTTCGGGTAAGGTAAAACTCAAACGCATGACTCACAACGTAGAGAGCGAATGTAGTGTATCAAAGGAGCCGGGTGCCACGGTGGTGATCTGGTTGTCATACAGCGAGAGCAGGCGAACTGAGCTGAGACCCGTGAAGCTGTCATTTCCCACACAGCTCACACGGTTGCTCCTCAACATCCTGAGAAAGGAAAGATCAACATTTCTTATCTAAGCCCAAGCAGGGGCTGGAGCTGAAGTGGTGGCCCAAGCAAGGGCCAAGAGGAATGACTCCAAAGGGACTGCTACTGGTGGAGGAGCCACAAGTGCAGTGACCCCTGTGCCACCTGTCACCTCACTGAGGGGACCGAGTACAGTGTGCCTGGAGGGCACAGGAATACAGAAAGATGGGTGGGTAGGCTTCACAGAAGCAAGGGATGTTTCCCCTAAGCATCTGTGGGTTTTTTCTTTCAGTACCAGAATCAGTAATTAAGTTTGTTAATTAATAACAACTTGAAATTCCCCAAATTGGAGTTACACAGCATCCATGCTTCCAAGCCTATTGGAACCAGCTGAATTCCTCCTGAGACCCCTTCAACCTGAATTTTCTTAGGATGAATTCTACAAGCCATTTCTACCTCATTCTCAAGTGTTTCAATTAACTGAAATCAGGGTACCCTGACTGCTCCTCCTCATGACTCTAGGATCTAGTAAAAAACTGAGAATACTAAACAAGAAACATCTATTCTAAAATCTCTCATATTTCTGTAAAACTTACAAGCTTTCAAGTTTGCTGTTCTCCTCTATGACCATCAATAAATGAATATTTTCCCCTATGTTTTTGTCTAAGAATAGCTGCTTCTAACAATTTAACAGCTTTAAATGCAAAGTTAGAAATGATAGGCCTGATTTATTAAAAATACAGCTGAAGCCCCAAAGACCATTTAATCTCAGCTCTGGTCTGCTGATCAGGATAGGCTCTCTGAAGAAGGCTAAGAAGTTGTAGATTGTATAAACTATCTTTTTGAGTGGAATGAGCTAAACTGCCTTCGTGGAAAGAATAAAATGAGTCCAAGCTATAGTGCTTTTACTCCTCACTTCACTGTTGAAATGACATTAAAATTACTTCGAAAATAATAATTTCCTCTATTTCAATATCCACCAGAATAATTTTTTCCTCTAGCAGAATTCCCATGAATGGTTAGGCTGAATTGAATCAGATTCCATTACATAAAATGCGTAATTCTTGTGCAAATTTCTGTTACTTTGAAGCAGATGATTATTTTCATTTCAGTTTCTGCGTTTGGATGTTTACCCATTCTCAACCACTTCATCATTTTAAAGGACTTCATTTCTGTAGTCAAGTAACCACAATGAAAAATTTCAGCTACATTATATCCATAATTAATAATCAATGAATTAAGATAATGTAAGATAATCTTTTGTAAAATAGGAACAAAAATTAAGGTATGCTTTAATAATCCATAACTAATCATCAACATTTTTTTTTAGGACAGATAAAATATTACTTTAAAAAAATACCTAGCAGAAAGGAAGAATAAAACCACTCAAATTGTTACACTCACAGTGTTTTGAGACTTTCTAGTCCTTTGAACATTTTGTGTCGAACATTTTCCAAGCGGTTACTAGTGAGCAATAGTTCATTCACACCAGAGGCTCCATCAAATGCTCCTTCTTCGATATCTGTAATCTTGTTGTTGCTCAGGTTTCTATTACACATTAACAAAAACAGAGAAAAATATGTTTTCTTTTTTAAGTATGTTGAATTTCAACTGTTAAACGCTGCATACTGCATAGATTTAAAGATACCAAGTTATTGTGTAAAAGCAACAAATACGCTGTTCAAATTCAAACCACCAACAAATGCAAAATGCAATGCCCTGCTACTAAAGTAGTAAAAGCAAAATATTGAAAGCAATCTTTGGAAGATGTTTTTAAATAATGGCAATTACCCAGTCCATTCTGCCACCACACAACAACATCTTTTAATAAATTTGAATCTTGTCAGTGACTGTATATTATTTTTGTGTCTCCAGTCCTTGTAGCATTATTTGACAAATTAATAACAAAATGATACTATATGAGCACCAGCACAACTACATCTTGGTAGACACAAATATAAGAAAACAGTATAAACAGCAACATATGTAAATGAAATGTGTGAATGTAAACAGTACATGAAATGTTAATAATTTATGACATTAGTTAAGAATGAGGGTTTATAAGCAACGTAGGTCATTTATCTGCAATCCACATGCAAAGCTGTAGGGAAATGACCTAAAATACTGCCAAAATATTTAGTGTTCGTGTTTTTTAGTTAAATATGGAAATCATATCCCAAACGGATGTTATCTATACTATACATACAAAAGCATACATACTCAACAACACGCATTTACTTAAAGATTTTTCACGTTATTCTTGCCTCCTTTTGGTTTAGTTCTTTCATATAACTATTTATACATATTACGGAAGTACAGATCTACAAACTAAACAGTCATTTTTTAAAAGCTCTTTAAAATTCTCTGAGCCAATGTAAAATGAAGTGATGCTAAAAGTCTTTTATTTGATGGAGTTAATGGTGTTGGGAAGAACAAATATTATTTGGTGCAATGTCAAGAATAGCATCTTAATTGTCCAAATCAAGAAAGATACTATTTCTTAGAACAAAAATTTATACACTTGCCAGAATCAGCTGGTGCCATTATCTAAGACATAGAAAACAAGATGCTGTGGCTTAATCTTGAGTGCTGACTACTTGTTTCTAGCCTAGCTGTAATTTAACGTACACCTTGCCTGTGATGATGGACACAATCATAGAAACATGGAATTATTTAGGTTGGAAAGGACCTATAAGATCATCAGGTTCAACATAACCCAGCACTGCCAAGTCTACCAGCAAACCATGTCCCTAACTGCTACCTACACGAGTGGTGACTCCACCGCTTTTCTGGGCAGCCTGTTCCAGTGTTTAATAACCCTTTCGGTGAAGAAAATCTTCCTAATATCCAGTCTAAACTTCCCTGGAGTGACTTGATGCCATTTCCTCTTGTCCTATCACTTGGTACCTGGGAGAAGAGACTGAACCCCAAGTCATTACAACCTTCTTTCAGGTAGTTGCAGAGAGGGATATGGTCTCCTCTATGGGGCTAAACAACCTCAGTTCCCTCAGTCACTCCTCATAAGACTTGTGCTCCAAGCCCTTCACCAGCTTCGTTGTCCTTTGGACATGCTCCAGCACCTCAAGATCTCTCTTGCAGTGAGAGGTCCAGAACTGGACACAGGATTTGAGGTGTGGCCTCACTAGTGCAGAGTACAGGGGGATGATCACTGCCCTGGCCCTGCTGGCTATGCTGTTGCTGATACAGGCCAGGATGCTGTTGGCTACCTTGGCTGCCTTGGCACAAGCTGGATCATGTTCAACAGCCATCAAGCAGATTTCCCGCCACTCCTCCCCAAGCCTGTAGTGATGCATGGGGTTGCTGTGACCAA